AAAAAAAAAAAAAAACTACCTTTGAACTGTATTGAAAAGGTAGTAAATTTAATAATGAATGAGTCAGTAATTTAATATTAAGTGAATTGACTATAAATTAATTGCCCGGATAACTTGTTTGTATATTTTAAATTATTTTTTGGTATCATAATGGTTTAACAGAAAGTCGTTGCAGAACATAACTTTAGTATAGCATACTACCGATATTCACCATACAAAATAATCTTGTTTCTGTTAAACTTTTATTTTGAAAGCAAAATATGCCTAATTATATTAAAAATTGATGATATTATAATGGTTAGTTGGGAGAGTAATGTACTATAAATACACAGTGTAGCTCCAACTGCTACTAGAAGTTATGTGGATTGGATAACAGTTACATGATTTGTTACAGAATTATCAGGGAAGTGAATTTAATATAGAATTTAGAATGATCTATATCATATGATAAAATTTTTTTTTATATAAAATTGATGAAATCATTTAGGTGCTGACATTTATTAGGTAATATTTTAGGGGGTGGGGTAAAGCCAAACCTTACCTCAATATAATATTAAAATTTAATTGGTTAATAAAAATATTACCTGGGGGAGGGGTAAAGCTCTATAGTAAATGAATATTAGATAATAAATGTCAAAGCCCTTACTTTACATTTGTCTTTTACAAGAACAAATATACTTTTATGCAAAGATCAAGTTAAAATCTTGCAAAGACATATAACAACTATCTACTAAACGTTTTTGAGTACTATTTGTAATACCAAAAATAAAGAATCTTGCTTGCAAAGTTGGGTATAAATTGGCTGTAATTCAGTATAATTTAAACTTTAATTTGCGAAATAGGCACTAATATCACTAATTAAAACTTATTTAATTTACCACAACAGACATATTACTAAATAGAACTTTTGAAACTAATAAATATAGGTGAATCAAGGTTAGAATCATAACCAAAAGATAATTTGATAAATAATTTCTGGTTCATGTAATACTTTAATATATCAAAGTTTTACATTCAGCCAAAAATTGTTAATCTGGATCAATTAATAATTTAAAAATAAATAGATAAAGTTACAATCAACACTTTCTATTCCCGAATCGTGATACTTACTTGTGGCATAGCTGAATGCTACAATTCAAATTTATCTGTATACTAGTATCAACTTTGCTTCTTATCTTTTGTTATTTGTTAATTACATTATATAAATTTATTTTGACGCTACAGACTATTTATTTTTTTTATTAGGCTTATATAACAATAATTAGACCAGACTATTGAATGATTAAGTGATATGAGAAATAACAATTAAGTGATTGAATGATTGAATAATTGAGTGATTGAGTGATTGAACGTTTGGGTAATTGAATAGATAAAGCTACAATTAGTACTCTATAAAATCAAATCAAATTTTGAATTTTATTCAAATATTTAAAATAATTTGATCAAATTCAAAATTTAATTTGATTTTGTGGAGTACTAGCTACAATCAACACTTTCTATTCCTGAATCTTGATACTTACTTGTGGCATAGCTAAATATTACAATTCAAATTTATCTATATATAGTCAACCCCTCTATAGTCACATTTTTGAGATACAAAAAACCGTGATTGTAAAGAGGTGTGACTAATATAGAAACATTTTCTATATAGTTATAAATAATTGGTAAAAATAAATTTGTAATTATACCAATTTTGTGACTATAAAGGAGGTGACTATAGAAAGGTTTGACTATACTAATATCAACTTTGTTTCTTTTGTTATTTTTTTTAATTGCATTACATAAATTTATTTTGATGCTACAGACTATTTTTTTTTAGGCTTATATAACAATAATCAGACCAGACCTATTGAATGATTAAGTGATATGAGAAATACAATTAAGTGATTGAACGATTGGGGTAATATATGATCAAGTAATTGAACAATTGGGTGATTGAGTAATTAAGCATTTGGGTAATTGAGCGATTGGGTAATTTACTAATTAAGTGTTTGGATAATAGATAATTAAACATTTGGGTTATTAGGTAATTGAGCAATTGAGTGATTGGGTAATTGAGTGATTTGGTGATTTGGTAATTAAGTGATTGAGCGATTTGGTTATTGAGTGATTGAATGATGAGGTAACTAAGCAATTTAGTAATCAAGCAATTGGGTAATTAAGCAATTAATAAATATTCGTAGAACTTATTTGACCAAAATTTTTGTAAATTAATTTATTTAAATAATTAAAATTAAGATTACAGCATTACAATTTTATAATCAAATAAATTTATTGTTATATTTGCTTAAAAAAATCTTAACCCAGTATTACAATCTATAATAATAAACCTACTAATTAGATGGAAAATACTAATTATAATAAAAACTATTTTGATTCTGATAGTGAATTTGCAACCGAAATAGAAAACTTTCCTATTCTTAATTTCGACATTGACGCATATCAAGATGTTAAGAATAAAATTTTGTAGCAGAATAGTGATAATGAAAATAAAGATTACAATCTTAATAATGCAACAGAAGAATAAAGATATTGAAAAAAATTTATTAGATCAATCAGTAAAAAACAATAAATATACATCTTGTGTCATTATAAATAATAACAATAATAAAAAAAATCTCTCTCTCTCTCTCTCCCAGTTTCATAGTAGAGTATAGAAAAACACAACGACAAACAAAACTAGACACTCGACTTCCAAAATACTAACAAGAGTTAAGATCCTTGTCTCCAGGAAATATAGACAAGAGTGCTTAAGCATGTCAACAGTAACAGGACAGAACAGAAGGATTAAAAAGGCCAGATCTTTTAACGCAAAAGAAAACAATGCTTCTTTAGATCAAAATAAGCACAACAAGGCTTTGGAACTTGCTGAAGCAAGTCAAAATAAAATAAAAACACAAATAACAACTCTTATGATGAGGAAAATTTGAAGCTACAAGACATAACCAACACAGTTATGAATAACAAGAGCAAAGAAAAAGAAACTTCCACTCTCGAAGAAAAAGAAGTGCAAAACACAACAACAACAGATACGTATCAAGACCTACCAAAACAAACAGAATATGTGAAGACACGTGAACAGATAAACAAACATGTGAACATCCAATCAAAAAGGACAGATAGTCAACCAGAACCCAAACAGTGGTCAAAATTATTTGCTAGACTCGAAAGGGAAAGAGCAACATACTCAACATATACTCATACTAAAACCGAATTTGCCTTAATATTTGAAACTTATAATCTTGAGAACATCTCTACAGTGGAACTAGTGGAAATATTAGCAATCAAAATGGGAGATAATCTTGTAGCAAAACCTGTAATAACTAAGAACAGAAGAACTCACCTGGAATTTATTCTTCTAAATGAAGAAAAACAGCAATTCTATGCGGCAGAAGGTCTCACTGTCTTTAACCAAACTCTTCAAGGATATATTCCTGTTAATATTCGCTACAATTTTCTCCCAGTCAGACTTCGAAACATCCCTATGGGTAAGAAAGAATATATCTCAGAAAAAATTAAAAAAGCCTTTCAAGATATAGATACTATTTCCTCAATCAAACCACTGGTATACAAGGAAACCTCAGTTCTTTCAGACCAATGGGTGATCATTTTTGAAACAACAGATAATCCAGATCTTCCAAGCAGAATCCCTAGATTTACAGATATCTGGAACTATAAAGTCATAACTGATTGGAAAGAAGCTCCCAAACTCTGCTTCTTTTGCGATAAAGCAGGACATGTCAAAAAGGATTGTTCTGAATACAAGGCTTCAGTAGAGGCTAGAAATTTACAAAAATCGTTCAAACTCACCAGAATGCAAGAGAAAAAGCAACTTTTACAACAAAAGGTAGAAGAACCTTTAGTTTTAAGCCCAGATAACCTCTATGTCAAAGAGGAGAAGCATGAAATAACTGTCGAAATGACAGTAGCTGAACCAACTACAGAAAATACAAAAATAGATAAAAGATATGAAAATAGATCTAGAGATCTCTGTTACAGAAACTACAGATGTTAGTTTAAATATCAACCAGGCATTAGAAGTCTCCCAAAATGACTTGAAGGTTGATAACAAACAGGAGGAGATGTTTGTAGATCCTCTAGCAACATTTTACAATAAAACTAAAATACCAGAGAATAATATGCAAACAGATGAACTAGATGGATTTATAGTGGTCACCTCAAAGAAAAAAGCCAAAAACTATGCTAAAACTAGCTCAACAGATGAAAACAAGATACAGTCAAGCTCTGGTTCAGCCAAATTAAGATTGCTACTTTAAATGTTAAGGGCTTGAACAACCCAGACAAAGCACATAAACTATTGATATTACTGAAATCTTATCACATAAATATAATTATGCTTCAAGAAACTAATTTAGAAAATGAAGATACAAGAGAATTTTTACAAAACCAATGGGGCTACAACTCATACTGGACATCCAAAATAGTAATATTAACAAGCAGCCGAAATATATTTTTCAAAGACATTGAGAAATCACACAATAGAAGAGTAATCACTGCAAAGTTTATACATAATCAACAGCCCTTTCGATTGATTAATATATATGCTCCTCCAATATTGAGGACAGAACTAGATTCTTTAATAATTGGGCTTCTCAAATTAAGGAGGAAAAGATCAATATACTAGCCGGTGATTTTAATACCAATTTAGATCCACAGAAAAACTAAATAAGTCAAGCTGCAGTAACAAATGATTCTACAAGAGAACTCCTTAAAAAGCTCACAGCAGAATATATCGATTCAGCCACAATTGTAGCAGAAGATGATCCTTTTCTTACCTACTACAAAAATACCCGAGAGGCTATAAGATGGCTACAAGGCTTGATTACATCTTTATAGATGCTAATCATGGCCAATATTGCAAAAAAGTTGCCACCTATTTTGGCAACTCAAATTACCTGCTAGTAGAATATGAATTATATCTTGCTTCAGAACAGTCACGTTCAAAGCAGTGGAAATTTGACAAGAAATGTCTAAATAACCCACTTCTTAAAGAATTAATAGAGAAACTAAAAAATATTACCAACCTCTCAAGATGGGACCTACATAAATATATAATATAATCGATAACTAGGGCATATAGACCTCCTCCAGCTCCAGAAAAGAAAATAAACAAGCTTCAGAAAAAACTAGCAGCAATGGACAACAGAATAGCAAGAGAAAGATTTCCAGAGAATATAGTAGCTGCAAAAGATAGTTTGAATCTTCAGCTACAAGAAGAACTGCAGGCTCTTTCGGACAAATAGCAAATTAGGTCAAACGCAAAGTGGATTGAGGAAGGGAAGAAATCTACCAAGTTTTTCTTTTCACTATACAAGTCAAGAAATAGATAGTGATTGGACCCGGGTGGCTACAACCTGGGTCACCCACGGGTGGGTGGGTCACCTGGGTCAAGTTTTAACAATTCAGGTAAACACAGGTGGGTCAACCCACAGGTCATCTGTGGGTCAACCTACAGGTCATCTGTGGGTCAACCTGCAGGTGACCCACGGGTTTATAAGGAGACATTTATGTGATTAGCAGATCTATACATGATTTTTCGTGATAATTAATCAATCAAAATGCATAATGGTTAAAAAGATTAATATGCATAAAATATAGAAGTTGCTATTTATTATTACGTAATAAACCTAAAC